TTAAAAAGAAAAAAAAAGAAGTTATTTTTCATTAATTTTTACCAAAATAATTTTGGTATTCTATATTTTTAAATATAAAACAAAAATATTTATTTTTAATTTATTTGCATTAAACGAAATATTATAATAATTATATAATTTTAATATATAAAAATTTACAATTCTGTAATATATATATATGTATATAAAAAAAATAAGAGATAATTAAAAATATATTTTAGATTAAAATTTAAATAAAAAATATTTGTATTGTATTTTTGTTTATTAATTAATAAAATATAAAAATTAAAAACAAACATTTATAGAATAAGTAATACAAAAAAAAAATTAAAAAACAAATACAAATTTCGTTCTTTTTCTTTCTATTTCAACAAAAATAAATACGACAAAACAATTAATATAATAAAAAAATTATAAAAATTTAAATATAAATCTAATTAACTAATAAAAATAATTTAAATAAATCACAATAGTCTTCGCAAAAATTAAAAAAAAAAATTGTTATTTTAATCCTTATTTTCCTCATTTTTTAATTTTTTCCCTTTTTTTTGATTTAATTTTAATTTTTTTTTTTCATTTTCGTAAAAAATTTGCAATAAAAAAACTTAATTTATATGTTGTAATTTATTAAAAATTATATTTCACTTTAATTTGAATTTTTTGTTTTCATTTCTTATGTTTCACATTTTTAATTTTTTTTTTTTTTAAATTATAATTAAATATAAATATCATATTATTCTGAAACATTTAAAATTACAAATTTTTATTTATTCATTTGTGTATTTATAAAAAAGAAAAAAATTTCTAAAAATTTTTTAATTCATATAAAGCATTTTTCTCAGCATTTTCATTTAAAATTAATTAGAACTTGTTAATTTTTGCAATCAATTAAATTTTTTATTGGAGATTATTTGAAAATTGAAAGATAACCAAAGATTTGGTTAGAAATTATATACCCATATTCTTTTTAAATTTGTCACATGAAGTAATAGGTATATTATAAGTGCAGAGTATTATTTGAAAAGTTTCGGAATGAAATCAATTTCGAAATTTGAAGTGAATATGGGGTTGATATCAAAGCTAACATAATAAACAGATTTTGAATATATTTATTTATATTTATAAACATATTTAATTTAATTTTAATATTAAATTTTTTTTTTAATGAAATTCTTAAAATAATTGAATGCTAATAGATTTATGTTGATTCATTTTATATTTTCAACATTTAAAAATTTTTCGGATGTTGAAAATTAGAAGTTCCGTTCTTGAAATTGTCATAATTGTAAAATTCGTAATTTATTTATGCAAGTTTTTAATTTTAACGAACAAAATGCTACTAATAATTGTATAATAGCAAAAAAATAGCATTTTAATTTTGAGTTTTCTCGACAATTTTCAGATATATACCTAAAGATCTAACTTGTGATCAAATCATTGGTACCTATCAAGATCAAATTATTGGTGCTATTATATTATTATTTTTTCTTAAATTTTATGATATTTTTATGTAGTATATAAAAAGAATCTGTAAAAATTCTTTAGAACTAATTTTAAATATGCTATGATATCAAGCTAGTAAACAAAATCTATATATTCAGCATTTATATGTAAATTTGTAGTTTTGATTTACTAAAATTAAGATATTAAGAGTTAAAATAGGACAAAATTTTTTAAAATCCCCAATTTTCATTTAAGATGTTGTATGATGAAACTGATCACACGAATATGATTTTATTTTAATGTTAAAATTTTTTATAAAATCATCACTTCGGTTAAGATTGCCATTGATATACGAACGATCAAACAATGTACATACATATAATGTATATTCAAAAAGTAAACGAAAAATTAACTAAAAATAGCCAAATATAGTATAATTTATTAAATACACATAGTTTAAAAAAACATAAATGCATAATAAAATGGAAATTGACAATGTGTAATTAAATTAAATTACATAATTTGTGTTTTGCTTGTAACACGTATTCTAAAATGCTGAGCTAAGAAATTCAATGAATGCATTATATTTTTCTTTAATTTTTCCTTTTTTTTAATTTATTTTTATTGTTATTTTTTTTTTTTGTGTAAAATACACTTTTTTATAAGATTGTTTGAAAAAATTGAAAATTTTTTGACACATTGAAAATTTAAATTTATATTTTTTTTATTTATTTTTTTTTCATTAAATTCTGTTTTCTGTTTAAATTTTTCGATTACATGAATTGTATTTCATGTAAATTATTATTTTTATTCAATATTTTCTACAAAATTTTCAGTATTATTTAATTTTCTATTAATTTGATTAAAATGTTTGTCATTCTTTTTTCCATTTATTACTCGTTTGTCGATTTTATTCCAATATCTTAATTAAAATGCTATTTTATTAAATTTTTTTCTTCAATTTGTATATTTATTTTTTTTTTTTCATTTATTACACTATATTTATTAAAACATTAACGATATTTTAACAATCAATAAAAAAAAAATAATTATCAGTCGCCTCATCATTACTTTACTATCATTCAAAGCAGAGAAACGAAAAAAAAACAAAACTTTTGCAAAATATGAAAATCAAAATTACCATTTTATTTGAGTAAATTATTTTTTTTTTTCAGTTTTAAAATTTAAAATATTTTCTCTCATTAAAGGCATAATCGATAATGTCATATGCCTGTCAGCAGCCATTGTATCTGACAATTGGTTTCCATTATCATTTTAAAATTTTTTATTTTGCCCAGAAAAGCAAAATCAGTAGAGTTGAAATTGTTTTTATTACAAAAATACCAAAACAATTTTTCACAATATGACAGATAATTGATAATATAAATTACGTGACATTTGATTTTTACGATACAAATGTAGATTTTTGTTGGCAATATTAAAATTTTATAATGCATTTGTTAATTGTAATATCAATTAAAATGCAAAAGAATTCAAAGCACACTTTGAATTATTGATTACATTTTAAAAGAAGTTCATATAAAAAAATAAATAAGGGCTAAAAAAGTAAATAAATTAGAAAAAATATTAAAAGGAATTTTATTTTGTTGACTATGTATTTACAATTCGTCTTAATTATTGATTAAATGTTAATTCCATTAAAACCAATTCAGTTAATCTGTAACAAATACGGTTTTAATGTTAAAGTAATCTGGGGATGGCGAGAAAAATATGATGATATTTAACAGTTCTGATTCTAATTATACATAAAAATAATGTAAAATATTCATAAAAATTAAAAGCTTAAATATATAAATAAATAAACAATTAATTAGGTTTGACATAATGAACAAAGGTTTGTTCACTTATAATAATAATTATATTAAAGGTGACTTAAAAAAAGTAACTAAAAAAATTTGTAATTTTATGTAATAAAGGTGAAGACAAAATTTTGGAATTGTCATTGAATTAAATTTAAATTTCAAAATAAAATAATTTTAGAAACGAACAATAAATACATTCAACATTGAAGTTTTTTTTAACCCACAAAAATTATAACTTTTTAATTTAGAATTATTCTTAAAATATTAAATAATTTAATAAAAAGTTATTTTATTTTACAATATAAAATAAAAATTTCGATTACTAATTAAATTTTTTTTTCTAATTATTACTATTTGGCTCTTATTTAAAAAATGAATAAAGTTTTTAATCTTGTTTAATATACATACAATTAAATTTAAAATAATAATAAAAATAAATATTTAAGTAAAATACGAATTAAATTGTTTTGGAAAAAAAATATGAAAATTGAAATGAATTTTTTTTAAAATATAAGTAGATCAGGTCAAAACAGTTTTCTTTTCAAATGATTATTTTAAATGGGCTAAGTATGGACGTTTTTAAGAATGAATATTATTTTAAGAATGAATATACAATATTATTTTAGAATTTACTATATTTTGTTTATATACAAATATTATTTTCATATATATTTTATATTAAATAAGATTTATGTTGATTTAAATAGCGTTTCAATAATATAAGTCTTAATAAGAATAATTTTAATGACAAATTTAACATAATATCAATTAAGAAAACACCAAATACGATTAATAAAACAAATACTAATCATTTAAATACTATAGTATTTTTAAAACTGATAATAGTTTTAAAATTGGGCCGGTTAAATTGAAATATTATAGATTTATAAATTTGCATTTAGAATTATATAAAAACATTAATAGCAAAATTTGTATCTTGAAAATATAAATGATGCTGTCTGTTTGTTTTAAATATATATAATTTTTTTTTATATATTAAAAAAATTGCTTTCGATAATAGTTTTGACCTAATTCTTGTTTCTAAATTCTTGTATTTTTTTGAATAGTTTTTTTTTTTATTTAATAATACAAGTCTGTTTTCATTGTTTTAATAAGCTCAATATGTTTGAAAATTTGTTGTATTTTAAAAAATGTATTTTAAATATGTTTTTGGATTTTTGTTTTTAATTAAAATTGATAAATTTGATAATAAAGAATTTTATTGGAAAAAAAAAGTAATTTAAACCAAAAACATTTTTAATATTTTTTTATTTTAGTTACTTTTTATATAATCTTTATTTGATTATTTTTAGGTATATTTTATATAACATATTATAGTAGAAGATCAGTCATAATTTTTATTTAATATGGTAATTTTTAATATAAATTTTTTTTTTAATTTTACAATACTAATATTTCAAAGTTTTTTTCCTGATTTTTTTTTCTTAATAATCATTTAGTAAGAAGTTTTTTTTTCTTTAATTATTAATAATTTTCAGATAGTTTAATATTGTTATTTTGTTTTTTATAATAAAAGTTTCATTTTCAAATAGCATTCAGTTTTTTTTTTTTTTTGGTTAAAATGTGTTATTTATTAAATTCAATTACTAATTTTATATACACATATTTATTATTTATAAATAGTATATAAATGTATATATAAGTATATAATATGTATATAATATAAATTTTAAGTAAAAAGATGTGTAAAGAATTTTTCTTTTGTTTGATTTGTTTTGTTTTTTTTTTTTAGTTTAAAGAGAAAAGAAAAATAATTTGCTTTCTTTTTTAATTATTTTTTACTTCTTTTTGGCTGCTTTTTCGGCTTTTTTCTCAGCTTTTCGTATTGCTTTTTCTCGTTCTTTTCTTGATCTTTCCTGGTCTTTGCGTTCTTTTTCGATGCCAGCTTTAAGTTCCTTTAAACGACGTTTTAATTTTGATTTATCATCACCACTTACACCAAGTATTTTAAAATCACGTGAGTCTAATTGTAAAAGAGCGCCACCTTGTACACTATGCTCACGGAATTTCGGTATATGATCTTGTAAACCATGTGCCATCAACCAATGACACACCTAAAACAACAACAAAAAAATTTTAAAAAAATATTTTTTTTTTTAGGATATTTTTAAAATTGCAATAAGATTTCATTTTACCTGTTCTTTAGACCATTCATGAACAGGTCCATTTTTCCAATAATGTGAATGTTTATTTTTTTCACTAGAAAAGCTTGTACTTGAACCTGACAAATCTAAATTTCGGCTAGGTGAATATCCGGGTGATGTTGAACCAGATGACATACTGGACGGGGATGGGGGACCATGTTGTTGCCACGGTACAGTACCAGGTGGTGAAAGTGATTGTGGAATTACATTTTTTACTATAATATCAAATTAAATGTTAATAACTTTTTTTTTTTCATTTTAAATGGTCAAAATGTCTTTTACCTTTGGGTTGAGCTTCATTAACGGCTTGTCTTATTTCTACAATTAAATTTTGTGTTATAACAGCCGCAGGATTTTGTTGCTGCTGCTGTGATTGTTGCTGTTGTTGTTGTTCTTTTGTTAATTTATTTATTTCAGTGTAATCATCACTAGAATCACGTGAAGAACCATCTCCAAGTCGTCTAAACATAATTATATTGTTAAAATAAAATAAATTTTTTATATTAAATAAAATTTATAATGAAAAGTATAATCATTTACCTTTCACGATCAGCTAATACTTGATTTAATTGATCTGTAAATGATGTAGGTGGTAATTTAACACCAATACGCCTTCGACTCGGATACATCCAATTATCTGTATTTTGTTGTTCAGTTTCAGAAAGCTTATCATTAGAACTTAATATACTGTCATATGAGCTATTTAAATCTTTACTAAATGTATCATTTGTATCATTTTTATATATATTTGGTATTGTGAAATGAGTTTTATAATTATTACTACTGCTATTTTCATTACGTTCCTTATGTACTTGAGCATATAATGGTGCAGCATTTTGATTTATTATTTCACGATTATAACGATTTTCATCAATATTAATACCATTATTAATATTACGATTATTTGATATACCATTAATTGATGTTGATGTTGATACAGCGGTTGCAACAACAGATGAAGATGATGATGATGTTGTTGATATTAATGATGCAGTTGATGATATCATTGTTGACGTAATAATACCATTTTGATGACTACCATTTGAAACCGTTTGCTGCTGTTGTTGCTGTTGTTGTTGCTGTTGCAATTGATCTGATTTAATAATATTTTCTTCATTGTCGTCATCGAGAGCACAATCCGAACTACTATTACTCAAACTTTTTTTACCAGCAGTCGGTAACTGACGGTTCGCTAATGCACCACGAGATGCTAAAATTTAAAAAAAAATATATTTTGTTAATAAATACATTAAAAAACGGATCTTTGCACAAAATTTAAAAAACAAAATTACAATAGACATATCAAAATGGCAATAATTTATTGATGCAATGCTTATATTTAAGCCATCCAGAAATTTCATTTCAGCCCAATTAAAATTAATTAAAAACAAAAAGAATATTAAATAACGAAAAGTTGCAAAATTTTTTTCGAATTTCTTTTTTATTAGAGTGAAATTTTTGTTTAGTATTCATTTAATGATTTAGTTAGAGGAAAATTATAAGAAGATTTATAAAATTTTGAATCAAAATCATGTATAAATGATAGTTCTCTCGTTTTAAGATAGTAAAAAGCATTATTGTTCTTTTTTTTTTAGTAAAAATTCAATTTTTGGGATGAGGAACATAAATTTCATTATATAAATGGTAAGTAGAATTAATCCTGAAGTAGAATCAAACTTGAATTAGTCATACGAATTAATGACATCAAAAACAGGACATGTGTACCTTTCATTAAATATAATGGACGTGTAGAATTAAATCGGCTAAACACAAATTACAAAATTATAGACATTTAATATAATAATTGTAAAATAATATTGAACGTCTTAAATTACAATTTTTTTATTGTTTTTGTATATGTTAAATTTCAGAATATTTACTTATTTAGTTTAAGGTTTAAAAAGGAAAATTCTACATCAAACTGAATTGTATGCAAATTATTATAAAATACAATATTTAAAAATTTAAATCTAGAACGAAAATAAAAAAAAAAAATATATAGTTTTTCTTTAATTAAAATAAGAAATATTAATTTAATAATATTTTCCTTAATAACTTACAACTTATATAAATTTATTATTGTATTCATATTGTCATATGCTACTTACCTAAATCAATTTTTGTTTTTGTTACAGAATTATCTAATAGCTCATGCTGTGGTACAGCTGTATCTAATTCTGAATCTTTAATTGGTATTTTACGTTCAACTGTTGCTGTTTTAACACCATCACCATCCGGTGATAAATCTGATATTTCAGTATCAGATAATTCAGCTTCTAATTTTTGATTAAATAATGGTTTTGGTGGCTGTTTACGTGACATTTGTGGTGTTAATTTAAGACTAGCACTATCATATGGCAATTCAACTGGAAAACCAGCTCTTCTTTGGGTATCTTGCAATTCCTGTTCTAAATTTATAATACGATCTTTTAATTTTTTAACTAATGCATTATATTCAGTATCTTTCTCTTGTAATAATTGTGTATAAAATTCTTCACGATTTTGCATATCAATTTCACGTTGTTGAAATTCACGTACAACACGTTTAACTTTATTATATTTTTTCTCTAATGCCATATATTGAGCTTGAGATTGTTGTAACATATTTTGATAATTGGATGCTTCTTTTTTAATATTGGTTAATTCACGTTCGGTTTGTCGTAAGCGTTCGTTAAGTAATTCATTTTCATTTCCAGTTGTTTCCAGCTTAACCAACTATATTTTTGTGTTTTTTTTTTAAAATATACATACATTTTTTTTTTGAGTAAAATTAGAATAAATGTTATTAATAACTGAATTTGAAAATAGAAATCAATGCAATTTATAAATGTAAAGATGTTTTAATATTTTAATTTTGAAATTTATTAATTTCTAAAATTTTATTTAAACAATAAAGCGAATTTAATTTTTGTCTGCCACATTTATATTTTGAACAGATTGATTGCATTGACTTCCACCCTCAATAAATTGTCCTTTTAATACTAAAATTTCAATAAAAAAAAGAGACTAGAAATAATTTACAAAAAATCTTATATTTTTTTAATAATTTGTTATATGATATGGTTAATTAAATAAAAGCATGGTGCTTTAAAAATGTTTTCACACAATCAAATTCAAAATCAAAATTAAAATTAAAAGGAAAAAAGAAACATAAAATACAAACCCACCTGTCGTTTAAGATTCAAGATTTCTTCATCTTTCAACATACTACTTACTTCACTCTAAAATTAAAAATTATAATTGAAAGACCACACACAGAAATGAAAAATTAACAACCAATAAAAAAAAAAAAACAAAAAAAAGTTAAAAGTATCGTAAATTAAAGTGTTTTTTTTTTCTAATTCGATTATAAAAATAATTCGTTTTTAATAATCGAATAAATGTTTTAATCGAAAATTTGAATAAAATTATTAATTTTAATAATTTAATTTATTTTATAAGTTGGTATTCGAGCAAAATATAAAAATTTAATATTTAAATAACAATTAAATCCTTTTTAAAATAAAAAATCCCAACTTTTATTAAGGGAGAATTGGAAATTAATTAACACTATTTTAAATGTGAGGTAGAGATAAAAAAATTGATTATTTTTGCATTAAATAAAATTCCAGGATAATATAAAAATGTAGAAAGTGGAAGGGAAATTAATTTTCAATGTATACTAATTAAATTATTTCAAAATACAATATCCAATTATTTTAAAATTATTGTCAATTAAACAAATTTAATTTAAAAAAATTTAATGTGAAGCAATTTCTAAAAGATTTTATTTTTCAATACTATAACGATACTATTGTTTTGAAATCAAAATTAATAAGGTAACAAATAAAAAATTAAAGAAAAAATTGAACCAAATCTTTATTCAAATCAAATAAAATTACCATCGAATAAAGTCGATAGCACTGATTCTAATCGGTGGTATTGTCAATCGATCCTAATCGATTTATTAACGATGGATAATCTGAAATTCAATATTGCATTTTTATAACCCAAATAATGTTCTTTGTTCATCTTTTTTAAGTTTTTTGTTTAAAGTTCATTTCAAAAAATTTTCTGGTTGGAAATCACTAACATTTTAAAAATACAAATTTATTTAATCGGACACAGGGATGAACAAACAAAAACCAAAAGAAATATAATAAGAAGATGAAAAGGAGAAAAATTAATAGAAACATATAGAGTTTCTAAATATTTTTGGTCCTAGATATTTTTGGAAAATAAAATTATTCATTTATTAAAGCAGATTTATAAAAGACTTTGAAAATAGTTTTATTTCTAAGAAAATAAATAATTTTGGAAATTTGAAAAATAGTGCTAACACTGAAAATTTATAAATATTTAATTCATAGTTTCATTATTATGACATTTGTATCTGACGTATGTATGCTAGTTGACACTTAGAATTTTAAAAAAATAATTATTGAAAAATTTTACAAAAATGTACTACCTAGATCCAATTAGCCATCTTTTTAACAAATTTGGAACCGATCTTTCAAAATTTATGGAACGTATATTATCTAGATCGTAAACCGAGATATGGGATGGGTTTAGTTAAAGTGAAAAATTGAAATTGAATTACTATTAAAAAATTTTACTAAAATTTTTTAATAATTTTTTTTTAAGGTTAGAAATTCATAACATTGTCAACAAATTTGAGTTGCCTGTAGTACATTTTGTTGTCATTCCAATTTTTTTCTCTATACAATTTCTATATTTATAATTTTTCTTTATTCTTTTATTATTTAAAACAGCGATTTGGCTCAATTAAAATCAAAAAAGAGATCAAAAAATAAAAATAATTGTTAACTTTTACAAATTCATTGCCCGCTATGTATTCAGTAAATGAGTTCTATCTACTGGTTTCTATTTTTTTTTGTATATAAAGGAAAAACTATTTCAAAAATCTTAAATTAAGATTTTAGTTTATTATAAAATTGAATCTTGAAACTACTGATGGTCCATTATGCTTGCATATAAAAATTAAACTTAAAAATTAAATTGAAATGGACAGGGGTAAGTGCGTTTATAATATAGGGGAAAAAAGCAAGTAATGTGAAGTTTTAAATTAATTTTTGAATTTTGATATTTACAGTCCATACGTGATGTTTTTTTTTTTAAATTAAAACAAAATCAAATTAAAATTATGATATTGTGCTAAATGAAGCAAGACAAAATAAAAAAAATTAAACTAAATTTCAAATATAAAATCAAAATCGCAAAAAAACATAAAATCATGCAAAAATAAAATATTTTTTTGGTATTTATTTGATAAATTTAAAAAAAAGGAAAGAACACTCTTGTTTTTTCACAAAAAAATTTGGTTTTTGATTTTTTACAAAAAGAAAAATTGAGTTTTTTTTTGGTTATTTACCGCTTTATGCTGCATGAAAAAAAATAGAAATAAAATAAATTTACAATTTAGTTCTTTAGTTTAAATTTAGAATTTTTTCTATATATTTTTTTTTTTATAAAATTTTCAATTTAATAGAAGGGAAACAGGGGTGGCATTTAATGCAAAAACAACAGATATTAGAAAATTTATTTGTTAAGAAATTCATAGAAAAACATAGAAAAAAAAAATTTATTTTCAAAATTAATTTTATTTATTTTTTTTACCTCTTGTAGAAGTCTCTTTAGAGACTCTACCTCTTGTGAATGTGTCGCTTCAACTTCCATTGGATGTTCAACGGCTGTAGGACTTGTTGGTCCTTCACAAACACTTGAATTAGCTGAAGCTGGTTGTGTTAAATCTTCTGAATATTCTAATGTACGTCGAAGATATTCTTCTTGTTGTCTAAAATTAAATTCAAATTTCGTATTATTTAATTTAATGAAGAATAAATTTGGGAGTTGTCAATTGTTCAAAATTGAACAATTTGACAACTGCAAAAAATCGAACTTTAACGCTGCATAAAACATAATAAGGCCGTAACAAATAATTAAATGAATTTATAATCATAATTCAAAAAAACATGAATTTGTAAATCACAAAAATCGAAAATTAATTTTTTTATTTCAATTATTTTTTCGACAAATCTTCTATGAGGGTTTCCTCACACTTCAAATAATACCTTAAGTGGTTAGTCAAAATTAGTAAAATAATTAATAATCTCATTAAATTTTGCAATTTGAAGTGTTGCTTATTGAGTTTGAGGTATAAATTGAAATTTTTTTTATGGAGAAATTTTTAATTGTGATGGCTCAATTTTATTCAATATTTGACGCCTCGAAAAATGCATCAATTGCTAATCCTTTAACAACACACAATTTTCATTTATATGAATAATAAAAGCAATAGTGAATCATGAGCCTATTGACGCCTTTTTCAATTTACTTTTAAATTTATTAAAAATTTAATTGAAATCGGAAAAGGGAAAAAATTATTGGTTTAAATTGCGGCTTCTAGTTGGCAACCTAAAATGTATTTTTTTTTTTTTGAAAACGTAGTTCTTAAAGTGAAAATTTCGAAGCTAGGAAAGATTTATATTTCAATTTTCGCCTTTAAAATTGCATTTTCTAAAATACCACATAAGCAATAAGAATAAACAAACCTTTTAAGTCTTTCCTCTTTCTCCTTATCAGCTTGTAGGCTTAATCTAATTAATTGTGCAACTTCTGAATTTTCTGGATCACGTTCACGTCCAATTTGAAATTTGACTGGACCACTTGTATTTCTTAAAACAGATGCAGCATATGCTTGTGTTACACCAACTAAACTTTTACCATCAACTTCGATAATTTGATCGTTTACCTAAAATTAAATAAGAAATAAAATATTTTAGTTAAATAAATTGTAGGTATTCTAATTTTTAAAATAAAAAAAAATTAAAAAAAAAATTGAATATGCGTTATTATTTACTTGAATTCTTCCGTCTCTGGCAGCAGCACCGTTATCAGTTATTGTTTTAACAAAAATACCTAATTTTTCTAAACCAGCATCAGCACCAACTCCCATACCAATTATACTTAAACCTAAACCTTCGGGTCCCTTAACCAATTCAACTGGGAACACATGCATTTTTTCAACACGCTTTTCAAGTTCATATTCAGCTGATGCTGCAACTGGATCAACATCTTCATTTCGTCTATCATAATCTGTTACCGAAAATGTTGAAAAAACTTGTATTGGTCCACTACTAAATTTAACTTTTGTATTCTTTTTAACAGTTACTGGTGGATATGGTGAATCATCTTCATCTGATTCAATAAGACCTGGTACTTCCATCCAAAAGTTTCCATCTTCGAAATAATGTACACCACCTTCAACATAAACTTCTTTACTTTTAACTGGTGGATATTCTGGTATATAATATTGATCTGGATCTTGTAATAGACCAACGTTAGTACCAGTTGATGAAATTGATTGATCGATAGATGCTGTTTCAACTAATGAACCAATTGAATTTTGTTTACTTGATAATAAACTTTCATCTGCAGTTGTACGTGTTGTTTGACCAGTTGATGATTCAGTTGTTGTAGTTATTGATTCTACAGAGACTATTGATTCTTGAAGAGATTCTTGTTGTTGATGTTGTAATTGTTGCTGTTGTTGTTGTGTTAATGAATCAAAACTTGATGTTTTATTTAAATTAATTTCATTTATAGTTGAATTTCCTTGAACTTGAGTTGTTGAGATCTCTAAAATTTCATCTGGTTTTGGTGGATTATCTAATTCATCTTCTTCTTCACGTTCTAATTCAATAACATCATTATTATCTTGTATTATTTGTTCTTTTTGTTGATTTTCTTCTGATTTTTCTTGATTTAATTTTTCAATATTTTCTAGATGTTTATTAGGTGCTTCTAATACATCTTTTAACCATTCTGGTCCGTCATCATTATCTTTAGTATCATTTTGACTAGAATTAACTGATGTTGTTGTAGTAGTATTTGTTGTATTAGGTTTCTTTGGTGGCGATAATGAAGATAATGAGATTTGACCAGTTGTTACATTACGAGTTGAAGCTGAAGTTGCCGATAAAATTTGCTCAACTTCTTTTGCTTGCTCGTCAGATAATAAAGATTGCTGCCTAAAAATATTAAAAAAGAAATTTTAAATATTAATGGTAGTTTTGAAATATTTTTCAAAAAAAAAATAAAAAATTGTAATCTAAGAAAAACGACTAAACTAAAATATTAAATCAATCCTAAGGTTTGTGCACGTAAACTTAAATTTATTAAAATTCTATTTAGTAAATTTCGTAGTACCTACTAAAATGTTGTTAAATACCTTAAATATTAACTTTTGAATTCTTCCATTTTATTATTTAAACTTGATAATTGAACTCTTATGCCTTTCTACTAAACTTTTCAATTTCTGTTTTCTTATTATTTGAACAGTAATTTTCATTCTAGTTAATTAATAATATTTTTTAATAAAGTTGCTTTGTTTTTATTTTTATTTAATAAAAAAAAAATTTTATATTAAAACTTAAAATAATTCTAGCAATTAAAGCTGCGCTGCTATACATGCTAACTTATGTACTATGTAAAACATATTTTCGTACACAAAAATTGCATACATTGCGGCGGACTATTGCTTTTTTTTAATTCTTATGTTTATTGGACAACTAAACTGAATTTAGTTGTTTTACTTTGATAATTAAAGATTTGATAATTAAACGGATTGTATTCATATTTATTCACATTTTAAGTTATTACATTTGTTCATATAAATATTTTGTATGTGAACGGAGACCCATGGTACGATTAATTTCAATAAAATTTTTAACAAGGCAAGGATTGGAAATGAAAAATAATCTTCAAATTATTGAACGTTATATAGTAAAATTATAAATTTTTTAAATATTAATTTGTAAATACTAGTAAGGCAAAGGAAAGAAATTATAAATAACTTTGTTTTAATGCACTCATTACGGTTTACTTTCTATGAACTCATTTTAATAAAGAGTATGCACAATATATGTACGTATATATTTTTAAAAATAACTTATCCCTTGAATAATATTAGTTGTTCCTCTGACTGGCAAGAATTTACTCGTAAATAAAAAATACAATGTTTGTTTAAAAATTTTTTGTGTTGCTCCGCAAAATTTGTGTCGGTTCTTTTGTTCAAAAGAAAATAAATTATAATTTTGATATTTTGAACGAATTTCCAAATCAATTTAGGACTAATTACAGCTATGATTTAATTATTTGTCATATTATTAATCAAAGCAGCGATTTCCTTATTGATTTTTTAATATTCATTGATTTTAAGTATGGTTCGCCACAACATTATGTTACTACGAAATACGAAATTTGAATATGCAGCAAAAGCATTAGAAAATGTTGCAAGAGTAAAAATCAAACAAACGTGTATAGAAATTCAATGAATTGCAAGATTTTAACGAAAGTTACGTGTGGAAGAAGAATTTTGATTTCTCTTATCCACTTTGTGGTGCTCTTAAATACTGTTACAAAAACAAATTTTTACAAATGGCCAGTTGCATGCAGACGCGCCGATAAACATACACTCATTTAATTAATTAAATTTTATATTTCTGATTAATCTAAAAAACAGATCGTTTATTGTTAGGAGAATAGAGATCTTCAGTCTATATAGTAAAACAAAATTGTATTACTAATACTTGAATTAAATTGTGTATGACTGTTACTATTGCTGTAAACAATATTATTATTATAATAAATTATATTATTGTCCAAATTTCTAAGTTTTAAAATTATTAGATTTTATAAATTGAAAATATGTATATGTATTTACTGAATGCCATATATGTACATCTATAAGGCTACCAAGCTGAAGTTAATTTCTGGAGATTCGTGAACTGAGCACGTTTCAAAAACAATTCTTATTGCTTTATGTTTTCGAAGTATTCCGAATAAAAAATTTCTTTATATTTTTATGTGAAATTTTTAAATATTTTCTAAAACTCTAATTCTCTTTAGCACAGCTATTTTTAAACACAATTTAGTGTATGATAATTATTTTTTTACTTTTTTTTTTTAATTTCTTTTTAAATCTAATATCTTATTGAAAAATCTTCTTTAATTTAGGAACCTTCCATTTAGAAGACAGGAAATGATGACTGTATTAAAAATTATAATTGTTTTTCTTTAAATGCATTTATAAACGAATTTACCACATTTTTTTTTGAAACTTAAATTTTAAATTAAAAATAATATATGTAAAACCAGTGGATCCAAAAATATTAATCAATTTCGTTCAAACAAATAATTGCCGACACCTCTTCAATATAAACTCCATATATAAATTTGGAATTTGTTTTTGATTTACCCTCTGAGCTTGGTGGTCTGATAGGTTTACATATATAGCATTAATTTACTGTTTAAAGTTTTTGATTTTAAGCTGAACTTTACGATAGATCTTAAGCTGAATTTTACGATAATAATTCTTCTATATATTATATTTACTATATTTTTTTAAAAAGTCACTGATTTAATTAATTTTTATTTAATTTTTTTTAGAATTTATATTGAATTATAACGTTCACAAATCATAACTATTTAATGGTTTCTATACAAATGAAATTTCTGAACAACTCAAATATAATTCTGAAAAATTTCTTATTAATGTAAGAATATTCTATTCTATGATTTATATTTTTTTTTTAAATATGACTATCTTCTATATATGTAATTACAACGATAATATTTTAAGGATTTCCTATCCAACTCATTAAGATAACTAGGCAATTTTTTATACTTTGAAGTATTTTAAAGAAAATTCCTAATTAATTTCATATTTGTTTTTTGTCCTATATATCGTAAATATTTATTTTTTGTCCAACTATTTTTTTAACTACATAAATATACCGAAAGAATCTAATGCTAAAAATAAATTTTTAAAAACTAAATTTGCTTAAATCATGCAAAACAAATATTCATAATTATAAGTAAAAAAATTTTTAAATTAAAAACAAACATTAAAAGAATTAAAAACGAGCACAACATTAAAGATAGTTAAAGCTTTTTTTTTTCTAATTTACTTTATAATTAAAATTAAAATTTATTGTTTTTTTTTTTATAATTTAATATTTACATTATAATTTTATTTAAACTATCATAGCTAGTCAAATATGACATGAAATAAAAACAAAAAGCAAAGAAATTATAAATTTACATTAAATTAAAATTAAATATATATATATATATATGAACATACAAACATATACACGTATATGTATTGCATGTTTATTAATATTTTATTAAAAAAAAAAAAAAAACAAAAAAATATTAATACTACTGACCTGATTTTGCATTCCAAAATTCTACATACAGGATACGAATAACACAATACAAGAATTTTAATTTTTTTTTTCAACAATAAAAATAAATAAACAGGATACACACACATTTACATTATGATGTAGAAATTTATACATTTTTATATTGTATATTAAATATGTATAGTTGAATATGTTTAATTTATATTACGACATCATGCACATAAAAAAAAAAATAAAGAAAAACATACATAAATATTTTTAGCAGAAACAAGAAAAAAATTAATAATAAATATAAAATGCAAAAAAAAAAAAAGAAATTAAAATAAAAAATTGTTAAAATTAATAAAATGACACGCACACACTGGCATTTTTCATACAAAACATTCATTCACTTTAAAAAATTTTAGTATCTTTTTACTGTAAAAATTTGGTTTTCGAATAATTTCAATTTTGAAACCTCATATCTTGGGATGATAGCTCAAAGAAGTTAAATATCACTAAGTATTATTTTGTTCGTCTGGAAACAATCTGTCAGTCTGGTTCGAGAATACCATCGAGTCTTGGACACCCGAAAACCGACGCCCATCGAGTCTTGTATATACCGAAAAATGTCTTGCAAGTTCAAGTATTAATCGGGATTGGTATTATATGGCCTAATTACATTATTTAGAAAGTAGAATAAATAAATGAAGAGTTAGGAGAGGATTAATTTTAGAAAAGTGTATGAATATTAAATTCCATTTTAATTGTATTAATTCCGTTATTCTTCATTTAATAGAAAAACGAAAATTTGCAACAAAATTAACATTGCATGCACGTTTACGCGCACACACAATTATTTGTACTGTTTCTTTCCACTTACCAAGATTATAAATACGAGTACATACTTTGAAAACAATTTAACTTTTTCGGTGATTAAAATTTTTTAATTGGCAATTAAAAATTCGAAAAGTTGTAACGTGAAAACTATATTTAACGCATAAATGCAAATTAATTAGGAAACCGTAATTTCTCTGCAATTATACAAAACACAATTTTCAAGAAAAACAAAATTTTTTTTTTCTCCGTAAATAATGTAGAAATCAAATAAAATTTGACAACTATAATTACATAGTTGTAAGTAACTTTACATTATACAACTGAGGAATGAAAACAAAACCCGCTATATAGAATTTTCGATTTACAACATCAAAGAAATGAGTTGTACCAACATCAATTAATGGTAATACGAATGTAGTCTTATATACGAATTTAAAACTTTAGTTTTGATCTCACGCGGTTCACTATATTATCAGTGTACTTCGTATTGTAAAAAAAAACCAGAATTGAATCCTTTAAACTGCACTCGATTTATGAAATAAGTACCTTATAAACATTTTTTTTACATCGCGAAACATTGACATTGACATTTCTATACGAAATTCTTTATTAACTACCATCCTTAAAATTACCAATAAACTTATCATCATTTTGCGCCGAAATTCATTTCAAAATGTAAAAAATTATGAAAATTATGAAAATTTAAATATTAACAAACACAATTATACTGAAATAATATTTGTCATCAAAGTCACAATTCGTTTTTCTCTGTGTTGTTAAAAAAAAAAACGCATTTTATTCAATACGGAAATTCTTAATTTTTTTGTTTTTTTTTTTTTCAATATTACGGAAATCAAATTTTGAATTAAAATAACTACGATAATTAAAAATCTTATAAAGGACAATTTTTTAATTACACTATCCATAAGAATGCTATAATATGTGTTTTTTTATATATGTAACAATATACGAGCTATATAAAGTGTTTAACAATTGCAGTAGTGTACAACAATATAGGATTTTAACACCAGTTAATCAAATAATTTTGAAATAATACAGGAATACAGGAAGGTCACAACATAAAAACAGTTTGCAATTTCCAAATTCACTCATAATAAAATAATTTAATTTTCGAGTGCATTTTTTATTAAAATTTATTTAAATTTTTATTATTTATAAAAAATTAAATATACGTACATAAATTTGAATAGTATTTTTAGTATTAGAAAATTTACTTTTTCATATTTATAATAGATTTTCAATTTATTTTTTGTGTTTTACTAAAATTTTTTAATTAGATTCACTTCAATTATGCAAAATGCAAATTTTTTTTTTTTCACTCATAATGGAAATTCAAATTGAAATTTAAGAGAAATTTAATGAAAATTTTAAGTAAAATTCTAAATGTTTTTTAATATAAATAAGAAAAATAACAATGTAATGGAAAAATATTAAAGCACTTTATTAAAATTTTCTAAAAATCAAGAAATTTCTTATGTACTTTTAATTAAAATTAAATTTATTAATTGCTTCGCTTTAGCTTTGAGTATGGTGTTTGTTCCATATTTAAAAAAAAAATAATAATTTTTTATATTACTCATAAAGTTTTTATGTTTCTTTTTTTTTTGATTTTCGTTTTCTTATACTTCGAATTCCCGATTATAAAAAACTTACTTTTTGTCTTATAAATTCATTTTTTTTCTAGATTTTGTTTTATTTTTGATTATTCAAATACTTTCTAAACTCTTACTTAAAAACCAATGTGCATATACACACCACTTAAAAATCAAATATTAAAATGAAAATGCAATATTTAAATTGTCCTTTATGTCGGGGAATATGAACAAAAAAAAAAAAGAAGAAACAAACAGAAAAAAAAAAAATAGGAAAAAACCAAATACAAAAATAAATTTTCACGGTAATACAAAAACAAAAAAATAAAAACAGAAAAACTAAATGAAAACAACAAGAAAAAAAAATATTCAAGGATATGCTGCTATATATCCATTTATTTAATTAATATTATCCTTCAAAACAGAAAAAAAAAAAAAACATTATAAAAAACAAAAAGATGGGGGACGGGGACTTGTTTCTTTTGTTTTTTTTTTTAATTTTTTGGGTCAGTTCTTTTGTTTTACTTTTTATTTTCATATTTTCATTATTAATTTTTCTTCCTTTATTTTTTTTTTCTTTGATTTCTTGTTCATTTTTTTGTTCTTTCTAATCGAAATTTATTAAAATGTTTAAAAATCATTTTTTAAATTCACAAATTTTTAAGAAATTATCAAATTCTTATTTGTTCAAATTATTTTTGAATTACCAAATAATAAACACAGTAATATACAAACAAACAAACAAAATTTTAAGAAAAAAAATTTTTCGAAATTTTTTTAATCACAAAAACATGAAAAAAATTAAATAAAATTTTTCCATTTTTTTTTTTTTTTTTAATTTCTTTAATCCTGTTGTTCTCCTCTCTTATCCTATACACAATTGTCACTTGTTAGGTTAGAAAATTCGTATTTGTGTTCGTATGTACACAATATTGCATTGACAGAAAAATTATATTTTTTCATACATACATAAATACATACATGTACATATGTATGTATACATAAAATAAAAATAAGAAAAACCAAAAAAATAATTAAAGAAAAAAAAAACTAACAGAACAAACAAAGAAAATAATATGGAAAAAAATTTATGAAGAGAAAACAAAAAAAAGGAAGAAGGACAACGTCAAAATTAAAGAAAAAAAAAACAAGAAAAACAAGGAAAAATTAAATGAATAACAAAAAAGCTTGTGTATATACACACACACATATACACTATCATAAGAACACACACATTTATTAATAATCGTATAAAAAATTCAAACATTACAATAAAAATGGAAAAAAAAAACCAAAATAATTTTAAAGTGAAAGGACACAAAATCATCTGGAATAGAAAATATAAAAAATTTTTTTATGATGTTGTTGTTTTTCTTTTTTTCTTCTTTATTTACGTCAATATTCACCTATACACACGTAAATGTGTATATATATACACATATAAAGTTATTTACATTCTCATATTAATGTTTTTTTTTTTTGTTTTTTATACAAAATATTAGTAGGCATATTGTGTATATATATGTATGTATATGGAAAATTTTCTATATATACATATATGATGTAATTTCAAGGTCATTCTTAACATATCATTTACAGAAACAGGCGCACATATACACGTTCATATACCTTAATGCTCATAATAATGCAATGCATATACAAAAATATAAAAAAAAAATTAATACAGTAGATTCCCAATTTATATAAACATGTAACAAGAAATTCTATATGAGCATTCACTTGCAATTGCTGTAAGGCTTGTTCTCAGAACGGATCATAAATTTGAGTTGGAAAATCATTAAAAGTTGAGGCTTTTCTCTGGGCATTTACTTTATAAAGATATTATAAAGTAAATCGTATATTAGAAAAATTTAATGAATTAATTTGAAAAATAAACAAGTAACTGCTCAACATATTCCTATACTATATTTAATTTCGCCAAAATTCAAAATGTTCAGGTCGTTTTCATTAAGTTTATATTTGTCAATGTTTAAGTTGTCACAACAAATGTCAATCCGCAGAAAAATAAACAAAAATAAATAAAAAATTTATGAAAATAATTTTTTTTTAATTCAAGAGAGAAATATCAAATATTTAAGCAAAAATAAATTAAAAAAAAATTGTGTAAAATTTTAAAAAGAAAAAACTATTTTCCCTTAATTGCTGTTACATTAATTATAAGAATAATTTATGATTAATTGAATTAAGCACTTGGATACTAAAAGCACAATTGGATACTAAAAAGAAATTGAGAGCAATAGCATTAAAATTAAATACCTAAGTTTGTATAAGATTCGCCCCGGCGAAACACACACGAAAAGTAAGGACATATTATGTTGGAAAAAACAAATCAAGAGAAATTTCACTTTATATATGAGCACTAAATAATATTTTTTTGCTTCTGTTCATTACTTAGAATTTGTAAAGAAAATCAATTTTTAAATTGCCTTTAAACTATCTCGAAACTTTACTATTATGTACGTTAATGTTGCAAAGTAAAAAATTTGCGGAGTATTGGAGTTCCATTATGAAAAGAATTTGAAATTTGAATTGTCAAAATTTAAACTTATTTTTCTAAAACTTTCCAATTTTATTACAATTTATGCAGGA